CCTCCCCTTCCCTCCCCCTTCCCCCACAACAGACTTACCAGCCAGACGATGCTGGGCTGTGCCCCTGGCCACCTGCATGCTGTGCTTTGGCTGCAGCTGACTGCATACACAGGGACATTTGTCGGTGACATTGTCAGCCACATCAGCCAAAAAAGGCCAATTGCCAATACTGTCAATTTTCCTTATATCAGTGCCGATCTGACATGGGACCAATGTATCGGTGCACCTCTACTAAAAAGTTGTGCTCCAGTGCTACTGCACATTAGCTCCAATTACTGTGCATTGATTTAATACCTAGTTATACAAGTACTAAACTTAATGCGTAGAAACAATGGCACATTAATGAAAGTGTAGACACACCCAATATCTCATACTTCTCTCCTCTTTTCCTCTCCTCTACTTCTGGAGGATAAGGACTTCTTAGGATGCCAGCCTGCTAGATTTTAGTGCTCCATTATCTTATGTTCCTAGAATCATGTATAGGTGTTCAAAAACTTAGTCCCATAGAGAACTTTTCTGGAAGAGGTCACACAAGATCTTTTGTTCCTTTAGCAGGCTCAGCCTAGGACCCCTGCTTGCTGAGACTGTCTTCTAAGTAAGTAAGCATCACCTCAGCAAGACACACTTGATGAAAAACAGAAGAAAAAGTAAAGCCCTTTTTTTTCTGGGACTGCCAAGGCAAAAAAAAAATCTATGATGTCAAGGTCAAGAGGTACATGTTCATCCAAAGTGGTACAAATGGACAACACTCCTCAAAGGATTCCATTTAATGTGAAAAGTACCTCTTTTTTTTCTTAATCAATATCAGGTGCCTTCAGCTGGATCCAGACTGCACGTCTGATGGTCAAGATTCCAGTATCTGTTATTCTCATTGGCACTTGGACTTTTGACACTGTATTGTCTTCACCTTGACTCGGTTGTTTTCTCCCATCTTCTTCTGTTTCAACCTGCCCATCAGAATATACTTTTTTTCAGTCTTTTCCAATATACTTGAATCCATTGCTTGTACTTCAGTGGCAGATATGTTATTTCTATAGATTATTCTCCACATATCCTCACTCCTTACTGTACACTGTTAAAGATGACTTTTCTCGGTATTTCTGCAGTGGTACCAGCAATATAATGTCCATTTAACTCATATGTAATTTTCCGGGATCTGCACTTACTTCAATATTACTATTTTTCACTTGATCAATTACATGGGTAGGTTTCTTTGGCAACATGCTGCATGTAGTTTTGTTGTCATTTTCATAGTCTAGTTAGATACGCAAACCTGTTGGCTTATTTTTCTCAGATGTTCTGTCTTTAAAAAAATGCTTTATTTCTAAGGTCAAATTCAGCTTTTCCATGCCCAGGACGATATGCACTCTGTTCTTTTTATTTTTCGTATTTCATTTTGGGACAAATATGCCCCAAAGTATGTGTTAATTAACACATTAATTTCCTTTGCTGGACAGCTGAAGAGTAGTATCTACTTTAACTGATTCACTTTTTCAGTTTTCAGCTTGGTCCCAGCAGTTAGGAGGCACAATAGCAGTTCTCCATCCCACTGTCCCTAAACATATTGTCAACTTAGTTTGCGGTATGCATGAATATACATTCACTATGTAGGTAAAGAAATGTAACTTTATAAGTTACATTGAAAATTATTGCTTTTTAATATGAAAACAAATAATTACATTTATTAAGTAACAAAACCTTGAAAATCCACTACCAATAAGTCTTGTATTAACAAAAGGACTGTAGTGCATGTATATGTACAAAAGTCTTCAAATACCGTGCAAAAAAGGACCTAGTGCTGTGAGATGGGCATTGACTTTTCATTAACAGCAAGAGTATTTATTATCTGGCACATGATGCCATACCTTGCAGCACCTGCAAGTATTCATGTCCAATCATCTAGAGGACACACTTCTATATGCACTATTTCTTCTTGCCTTTGTTCAAAGTGAAGCTGCCTGGCCATGCTTTACTCTTTTCTGCAGAAGCTGCTCTTCTAAGGAGTTTGTTTTTCACCATGTCTGTTAATAACACTGAAACAACAACATTTCTCATTGTTCTACACCATGTTATTGCTTTTGGTTCAAGAGGCAGTCTTTACACAGCAGTGAAATATATTTAAGGATGTTGCTGCCTAACACAGTAAGTTTGTATTGCAGGTATTATTTTTGTATGCCTCAGATTCTGACTAAAACACCTTGGTCCAATAGAAATCAATCCATTTTACATTAGTAAAATGGCATCTACCAGAGTTTTCAGTGGTACGGCTACAGAAGCAATCTAGCTGGGAATGATCTACTAATCATAATTAATATTTAACAGTGAGAAGCAATTTAAAAAAAATTAAAGGTCAAACGTTAGTAAAGCTGTTGTAAATGAGGAGTAAGGAATTTAACGTTTGACTGTTCTCTTCTAGGTTGGTCCTATCTTTAACTCTTAACCCTGGGGCTCTTTTTTACTTGGCATCTTCAGTTACATATTTTGCTGGAGCCTTAAACAATCTCCCAGCTCAACTCTCTCAAAAGGTAACATTCAGGTCAAAGCAGATGCACTACCTCTTAAGTCTACTGAGGCACACATCTAGACTGAAATGGGAAATAGCATTGTTCCTTTAACACCCCTGCTACACTGAAACTTTTTAAGCATCTGGGATGCTTTGAACTCAACTTTAGAAAGCTGAGTTGGGAGCTTGTTTAAGACTCCCAATTCAGTATTTAAACTAACACTGAAAGTTTAAAGGAGAACTGGGGATGAGATGATGAATACAGCAGTAAAAGAAGGAATTAAAGGATAAGCAGGAAGAGGGGGAATTGAATATCAGTGAGGACTCTTGTCATTTAAAAATAGGAAAAGAGTCTTCTGTTTCAGTGCTAATAATTTTACCCTTCTCTATTCCAGGTCAAATGCTAATATTTTCCTTTTGAAACTCAGGTCCCAACGTTGAACTACTGAGAGAGGTTGCAATCTAATCATCACTTAAAAAAACCTCACCCAGCCTTTTAAGACCTGTCTTAGGATAATCACTGTATCTTTACTCAAGCAAAAAAAAAGCAAGAAAGCAATTCTGAAAAATAAATGTAGCATCATCATTATTTACTTTATCAATTTTGTCATTTTTGTATTCTGTAAGGCAGTTTTCTTGATGTGGGTCATTATAATTCTTCTAGAAATCATGAAATTCCCCTGATGTTGCTGTATTTTTAGCAAAGAATAATAAATAACTGATCAGATGAAATATAGTGCTACATAATTGGCAAATGGAGAACATTTTGCAGAAATCACTCAAACTATTTTGAATTTCATTTCTAGTCATGGTTTATTTAACACTAGCAGAGTGCTCAAAGAGTTTCACAAAAGATTGATGATCCTCTAGTGCAATTCCTAAGTGTAATATTATGTCTTAAAGAATTATGTCACTTTCTCTAAGGGTGCTGAGAAAGATATTACTATGCATCAATAAAAATTCAAGTTTTACCAACCATCTGTATTGCGTAAATCAAGCAGAGGGTGAGGGTTTCCCCAGAAAACAATTATGAAATAGAATGAGGTAGCCCAAAAAGCATTTACTGTACTAAAGTGTCAGAAATGGTATTGTATTGTGGCTACAATTAACTTTAGAACATTTTTTTACTGCAACATAGTCACGCATTGGTGCCCAAGGCTGTGTTTACATGGTTAAAAGGACAGATTTCCCAGTTGAACTGGGGTTTGTCTACAGAAGACTTTCACAGAGGAGCTGTGATATGAAACTGATGTTAAAAAAATCTATGTGTACATACTGATTATTATGGGTAATCTAAAGTTAAATTAGGTACCCAAACTGAAATACAAGTGTTGGGAAAAGGCTAACCAGTTAACCTGATTTTTTTTTTTAAGTTTTAAAGTAAAAACTGTTCAGTGTTATACAGACAAGACATTAATCAGTCAACATAGCTTACCACATCTGGAGACCCCCTTAATGGAGTGTGGATCCAGTTTTGTCATCTAGATGGAAATCAAGGCTACTACACAATCAATTTACATGACTTTGAAGGTGCTCAAGGTGGTTCACTTGTGTCGATCTTGGCACAAGTAGCAAATTTACACAAGATTAGTAACTGCGCCATAGCGCTTGCATAGATGCCTGACCAGGAGCAAAATCTTCCCCCAGTCAACCATCCAGCAGCAGGTAGGAGATTGTCCCCAGGCTATGGTGGAGCCTGCCTCAGCAGCATGCAGCTCCCAGGGGCTGGGAGCAATGTCCCCCAGGCCCAGTAACAGAGCTCCAAGATCATGATCAGGGAGTGGGGCTGGGAGATCCTTATCTCCCAGCCCCTGCTCCACCATTGTGATTGGGGAGTGGGGGGCTGGGAGACCTGTATCTCCGAGTGCTGGCTCTGCAATCACAGGGCCGATACTGGGAAACCCTTATCTCCATGAGCCTGTGCGTTCTCCCAGCTGAAGCCCCATGACCATGGAGCTCAGACTGGGAGATGAGTCTTGTTCCCTGTCCAGCTCTGTGATCATGGAGCTGGGGCCGGAACAGGCTGGGAGCTTGTTTCCAGCCCCCACGCCGCAATTGTAGACTAGAGGCTGGGAACAAGCTTCCCAGTCCCCACTCTGAGACTGCAATCGCATTCATGGATCTGGGGCTGAGAGCTCTCTGCATGGGGACAGTTCTCAGCCAGCCCCAGGCTGCACAGGGAAGCACATGCAGCCTGGATGTGGCTAGGGACTGTCCTGTTTTAGGCAGTCCCCAGCCAGCTCCAGGCTTCCCATGTAGACTTTCCCATGCAGCCCAGGGCTGGCCATCAGGTGATTGAGGCATGGGCTTGGAAAGAACTGCAGGGCTGGGGTAGGTCCAAGCTCCCTGCCCCCATCCACTAGTGGGGCAGCTAGCAGTGAGCTAGCTGTTAGCTACTCAGCTGGAGGACTGGGACAGGTGTAGTACCCTGCATCTCTTTCCAAGCCCCATGCCCCTGATTAGGGAGCCAGAGCCAGTAGATCCTTGCCACTGGAGCAGGGGGACATTGTATCCACCCCAGCTGCTCCCTGCTAGCTCTGGGGTTAGCACCCAGGAAGAGCCTGGAGCTCACTCTAGTGGTGGCAGGGGCCCATTGCAGGGCTATAGGGGACTCAGTGCAAATTTGTAGACCCCTACCCAAAACCACTTACTCAGCTTACACCACAGTAAATCTGGGCTGGAGTAAATGCCTGTGTAGATGTACAGTGTGTTAAGCACCTCATTTTCATGAATAAAATAAGCTTATGCTCCCAACTTGGAAGTAAATCATTTATGTATACACAGCATGGGTAATTACACATGCAGGTACACATTTGTGGTATATTTGTTATCAAATATTCATATTACAGTATAAGCTGTGAGATCAAGGTCCTGTTTTGCTATGCAATGGTTGGCTAGGAGGTTGGGACAGTATCAGTCCGAAGTATTTACAGTCTTAATTTGTACAATGTCTCCAATCACATATATTCAAAGAAGTATTTACACATATTCTGCATGGCAATCTGGGTGCAGTATTAGAAAATGTATTCTTAAATGTCTACAGGAAAAAAAAGCTATTTCTAATAAAAATATTGCTTGGTGTCCATTCTGCTCCAGCTATGCTGTTACCATCTGGCTCAAGGGGATTCTCCCACTACTGGCCTCCACAAGACTTCTAAGGTAATCCAGGATAGGGTTATACAGAGGGGAGGGAAAGGGGGACTGAAGCTAGGATAAGTTATGAACGTAGTGCTCTTGTGCCCAGCTTTTCTTTCCCCTGTAATACTTTTGAATGGAACCTTTGACTTAAGGGCAATATTTGGATTGCAAGTTGATTCCCATCACTCTTTGTACTCTGGCCAATGCAAGAATGAATCTGACTCTAAATTTAAATAATACATTGAAGTAGCATGACTCTATGGTAATACATAAACAAAGGAGTTAAAAATAACTTAACTAGGGATAATTCCTCAGATACCAAGTGGCTAGGCCCCAGAAGCTCATGAGAGTGAGTAGCCCTGAGCTGTTTTCCAGGGCAGCTTTTTATACCACTGGGGCCAGCACAGGGGCCTCAGTTTCTAGCTACCTCTGGCTGCAGATCCGGGAGGAGTCAGGCAGGGTTATTTTGCCCCAAGTGGCACAATTTGCCACATACCTAAGTGCATGTCCAGGCACATGTGCTGAGGCAAAAAACCCCAGCTCAAATTTGTGCTGCTTCTATTTGAGCTGCTGCAGGCACATGTGTCTGCATATGCAGGCACACCCCCATGTGCTATTCCGCCTTGTCATAAACTTTCCAGTTAGGGCCAAGTAGTGAGTCACCTGGATAGCACAAGTCAGATATCTGTAAGGATATAGAATATCAAGCAAGGATTCTTTAGGACTTCTTATCAAGAATCTGTTTGGTCTCATTTCCTCAAAAAACTTTCACTACACAAACAGTGATTCATAAATCTCTTCCAAATACAACCAATCTCCAGGGCTATTGGGGCGATGTTGCTTTCTCTCCAATGGACCTACAAGAGTTTTGTTTTTATGTTGAAATGAAAAGAACTTACAACAGATTTCACCTCCCCTCCAAATATGCTTGCTTTGACATTTAAAAAAATACCCTTAAAATAAAGGCTATGATGGATCCAGTGACTGAAACTTAGAAAGACCTTATTTTGTTATTTAAATTCTGTTCTCTATTTCTGTCTGATGCAGTTGTAAATTTTGATAAATAGTGCATGTGTGGGCTGGGCACAAAATGAATGTATATGTTTAGGAATGACAGGAATCACTGATGGAAGAGAATATCATTTATTTTTATAGAGAATATTGAAATGTTATCTCCCAAGGGTTTTATAGAGTATAGAGTTAAATGAAAAAGTTCAATGAATATATAGACCAACAGAACCTACATTACCCACTCAATAATAGGTCATGAGCATCAATGGATGTTACAAGCTATTATGCCTTAACAGGCTTTTTAGTACTTGTAGTACATACCACATTGACAATTCTGGAGACAGAAATCTGCTGTTCAGCTATGGAACTAACAATGGAAGCTGTTCCACACTAGCAAGTGCACTAAGATCATCCAAGTCATTTCATAGTCATCAGGTAATAATTGTTTTCAACTGTTACAGGCTGGGGCTGAAATAGAGCCTCCCTTCCTGTGATGTTCCATTATCAGTGTCCTGAGCTACCCGGTTCGCTCTTGGAATACATTATACCAACAACTGTTTGTTAAATTCCTGTGGCTATATGCCACTCTTATTGAAAGTGTCAGAAGATGCTACACTTTCTCTCGGACATCCACAAAGAAAGCTCATCAGTCACATCTAATTTCCTGCAAAGTCTCAAGTCCACTCTAAATGCCTACTGGAGCATTAAGTTGTTTTAAGCAGCATTTATTCAGAAAAAATAATATTCATGGCCCTCAATGGCCTGTTTTAAAAATTCAAAGTGTAGCTGTCACGAATAGAACATTTTTAAATGCAGAGATTTTAAATATTAACAGTTATCAAAACTGTCCTCTTCACATCAGTGCTTCACCACTCATGATAAGTAACCTTGATTTCCATTAAGCAGCTTCACCTTCAGCCCTGTTTATTGAAATTGCAAGGTAGAGCACAAGTTTGAAATTTGGTTACATTGTTTCAAGGTTATTTTCTCTCCAGGCAAAGAGTGACAATGTAGTAAATTTATACTACTTTTCACTGCTGATAGTACTGGAGAACTAACTGCTAAATAGGAAGCAAACATAAGGCTCATAAGGAAAGTATAAATTCAGTTCCATATTGGGGCTGTGAAATGCCATTTAGCGATTAACTGGGTTAGAATTTGGCTGGCAGAATCTTTACTGCTGGTGAAAATGAATTACCTCCCCCCCTCAAAAAAAAAATCCACAAGAAAGTAATGCTACAACTTGACCTTCACATTCCAGGTTAACTTTGAGAGACTGGAAAGTTAGGAAAACATATTTCCACTTGAAAGCTGAGCAAATTTCATCCAGAGGTCACTGTAATATGATAAATATGAAAGCTACTGTTCTGTTCATATACTCACTTTTCAGAAAAGAATTTGATTTTTAAATTTATACCAATAGAAAAATATCCATGATTTTTATTTAATGGACTATTTGAACAGTGCTATTGAGAAGTGGTGTCATTTAAAATACAGGGTTTTTCTTTTCTCTACTCTGAATAGGGACAGTGAATAATAACCATGAAAACAATGCTTGTAATAAAAGGCTACGTAATTTTCTTTGGGGAAAAATGAGTAATTTGGAAATTTCATTGCTATTTTTCTGTTCTAACAACAGCAGACTTTGATTTTTATTGTTCTTCATAAATGGATCTGACTTCAGAAGTGAATTTATAGATCTACACTTCAGAAATACATAATCTGGCAACAGTTATTGGGAAGATGTTAAAACCTTGATACTTAAATATATACAGTTAATTGATATAGAGGAAGGTCATTAGGATTTGTTTCCATCAAAAGTGCAGC